ATATTACTCGGAGACATGTATAGTCTCGGCGCATAAACGAAGTCCACTTTGGATTGAGCGTACTGTAATGCATCTTGAAAACGCTTTATAGACGATGGTATGTCAACTGGTGAATTAATGGCGTCCTCCACGTTTGAGACAAACTGTTTTTGCGCATCAAACGCCGTCCCAGTACCGATAATGGACGTTCGTGTTTGCGATTGTGCTCCGAGAATTGCCCATACATAAGTTCTTATCGATTCATTAACTCTTTCAAATCCTGGGTTAGTAAAATTATTTTCCGTTTTATCATTAAGAAATTCATTCCAAGCATCTGTTGTATCGTTTGGTTGCACAAACTTTGTTATAAGATAAGGAATGCCACTCTCAAAGTTCATACGATCTGCTCTAAACTGTTTATCCGAGAGAGCAAAGCCTGAAGGGATCACACCCGCTTTAATTAAATAATCGCTTTTATCTTTAATAGTTCTTTGTCCATTGTACGGAATACCTAGACCATGGCTAGGTCCACTAATACGCCAATCTTTACTCGTAGAAACATTAAATTCATTACAAATACGTTCGAAGGCCCTCTTATTATAATGATTATTTGCATGATTCCATGCTGGATCCATCGGTAATGGAGCACTAATTTCTTTAAGTATACGTCTAATCTGGTAGTACACGTGAAATAATATAACAGACTTATATAGTTTAAATCCTGGGGCATTAACAGATACACCACATCCCGTTGTGGCACACCATACGGCAAAGTTTAACTGATTCTGCCAAAATTGCATCTGACGGTTAAACCAATCGTCAATCATTTTATCGTTAGTTGCCGTGAAACTGTATTTTCCAAAGATATCGTGGAATTTAACGGTAAACTCAGCACCGGAGGCAGTTACTATAATCGATTGATTAGTAATGTGAGTCGATTTCATATTTAAGTTATGATATAGTATCATTGTATATTTAATATGTATGTTACACTCCCGGGAATAACAAATGGTCAGTCTATTGAACTGCTTCATACAATCGATAACTCGGATGGACAACTCGAAGTCGCTCTATGCGACGTAACGTATTACCCACTGTGGACCAATATAAGTGCTATAAAAAATAATAATAAGATGAGTATACCAGGTGAAAACAATGGTATTGACAGAGAACTCATTATACCTGATGGGTATTACAGCGTATGCTCACTCAATGATGAATTTTTTAAGTCTAATGGAATGAGTATCACACAAAATGAGTCGAATGGGACAGTGAAAATATACACTGGAGAAAAAGGTGTAATTATTTACGAGTACTTAGCAATTACACTTGGACTTGGACAGTCAGCATTATTACCACCCAAAAAAACAGTGACTGTATATGCATTACCCGATTTAGTTCCCTATAAAGAGTTGTGCATCCATCTTGATCAGATCAGTACGACGGATAATATTCAACAAGAAAGTCCTTCAACTCTACTCAGATGTGTTCCAGTTAAAGATGAAAAATACAATAGCGGTAGAACGGAATCTTTCTCAACATTACAATATAAAAAATTGAAGTGTGGTATTATTTCAGACTTAAAAATTTCTGTATTAGATGTAAAACATCAACCTGTACATATAGGATACTTAAGTGTAACACTCCATATTAAAAATAATGGTTAATTCCATATTTAAGTTATGATATAGTATCATTGTATATTTGATATGTATGTTACACTCCTGGGAATAACAAATGGTCAGTCTATTCAACTGCTTCGTACTATCGATAACTCGGATGGACAACTCGAAGTCGCTCTATGTGATGTAACGTATTACCCGAGGTGGACCAATATAAATGCTATAAAAAATAATAATGGGATAATGATAATAACTTCATATGGTACTAGCAAATCCATTACTATACCTGATGGGTATTACAGCGTAAGCTCACTCAATGATGAAATTTTTAAGCCTAATAAAATTAGTCTCACACAAAATGAGGCGACTGGGACAGTGAAATACAACCATAGTCCAAATATAATTGTATTTGGCCAACCAGGTAGAGAGGAATTTAGTCGCTTAGATGGTGCACATCCTTATATTAAATTACCCGATTTAGTTCCCTATAAAGAGTTGTTCATCCATCTTGATCAAATAAGCACGACGGATAATATTCAACTAGAAAGTCCTTCAACTCTACTCAGATCTATTCCAGTGAAAAATGAAAAATATAATAGCGGTAGAACGGAATCTTTCTCGTCATTACAATATAAAAAATTGAAGTGTGGTATTATTTCAGACCTCAAAATTTCTGTATTAGATGTAAAACACCAACCTGTACATATATGATACTTAAGTGTAACACTCCATATTAAAAATAATGGTTGATGCATCAGGCCCTGGAACAGTAAGACAATGTAATACAATTGCGCTTTCCGATCTCGGAGACACGGAAGGATTCGGTAAACCCGGTACCGATGGTAAGTTATACGCTTTACACTTACACGATAATGTATACAATCGGAAAGAAGTCACATTCACGGGTAATCTAGGAGATTTAAGCGATGTTGATGTTAGTAGACTCCTTAAAAACACTTCGTACAATATTACTCACAACGATGATAATAAATGGACTATGATCGAAGCAAACATCGAGTGGCTACTGAATATCGTCATTACCCCACCTTATGTGATGATGGGTAAGGGACATAATTTAACTAAGATAATAAATAGTGGCATCGTACTCGCGGCTTATATCCCGTCAAAACGAAAAAGTGTGTTAGTTACCCCCCTGCCAGAAAACCCAGGTCATATGTTATATAGTCGTCCGGCCTTAAAAAATGTTACTTTAAATTTGGTTACTGAATTCGAAGATATTAAAGTTAACCTGAGTGCAATACCTAATCTTTCTACGCTTATTATTGAAGTCTTGTTCGGAGATGCACTGGAAGATGCCTTCGATATATTACCAGGTCTATCGATTAAATGGCTCAAGAAACACGAGCGTCAACGTTGCAGTATTATTCATATCGGAGCATCGCCTGTTGCAACCCTCGAGGGGGTCCAAATTATTAAAAGTGACAGCATTTCTCTTTCTAAGATATTCTTGCCGTATAATATACATCTGATAAGATTGATGTATAGTCTCAAAACATTTAAGCAAGACCAATTAAAGACTATTATATGATCGTAATATACACTATGAGTTTATATCCGACGCTCGGTGAAGCATTTGAAAAGATGGAAACTGTTGATGGATTTCGATTACATCAAATAAGCGACATAAAACATTGAATAGGGAAGGAGAGGGAGTTGAGACTTGGATTGTATAAAAAGTATCGCAGAGCCGTGAATGCTCTGGACGGAGTTGATACCGTGCTTTTAGTATCTGGCATGGGACTCGGTGTAGCGGGTATCGGTTTACTATCAACTATAATCGCCGCGCCTATCGTGCTCGGCATGGAAATAACCGCTGGAGTCTCGGGACTGGCAGGAATAGCGATAAAATTCATTTCTCGTAGGTTACAAAAGAAAGCATTAAAACACGATAGTATTCGGATACTGGCCGAAGCAAAGTTGAACAGCATTGAGGATCATATTTCGACAGCAATGGCCGATTGTAAGATATCCGAGGATGAGTTTCGTTTAGTGCTGTCGGAACTCACCAAATACAATGAAATGAAGCAGGAGATTCGATCAAAATCTCGTAAGACCAGTGGTATTAGCGAAGACAAGAAAAAAAAGTTCATAGAACAGGGGAGGCAACAAGCGCGTCAATTATTCCGTGCCAAAACCAAAGAACTGGTTGGAGATTAAAAATAGATTGTTTACTATCGTGTGATTACATTTAGACAAATGCTAACATAAATATGTAATAATGGAGAAAGCTATTCAATGGAAAGAATTACCACAAGGTTTTTATTATATCAGTGATGTCAAACCAACCAAATACGGTTATCAATTGTTTCTTATCAATTTACAAAAAGAGTGTAGTTATATAGTCTGGTCTCCTAGTAAAATGAACGAAGAACTTAATAAAAATGTTGAATATCGCTTTATCGATAAAAATAATAAAGAATATTTTTATTACCATTTAGACTCATCTAAAGCAATGATTGGCCCCAGGTATTGGTGAGCTGGGACCAATCTCATGACTATCATTAAATCACATAATCATTTACGCATAAAAAATTCCATCTGTAGTAGCAGTATAGGTATATAAATCCGGCTCCAGTGGAAGTGAGCCAGAACCCCTATTACCTATACTACTCCCTGGTACTCCACAAATGATACTTTCAGGTTGGATATGGTTGAGATACATAAACAAGTAATATAACACTTGTGCTCTATGTGCATCATCAGTCTTGAACCCTAGGAGTTATGTAACGTGAAGATGTTAACACATGATATATTGTTGCCTGAGATGTTGGGCAGACAGTGACAACACTTTGAGAAGCTGTTACTGGCGACAATAACTGTGATGGCCAAAGTAATGTTGGGCGGTTGTGAGACTGCTTGTTCCTACAACATATTGACAATAACTGTGTTGGCCAAAGTAATGTTGGGTGGTTGTGAGACTGCTTGTTCCTACAACATATTGACAATAACATTAAAGCATGATATACTGCTGTTTTCTTCTACTGGAAATGCACTTTTAATTTTTTAAGACAAAATGATTGCATTCATTGACATCTACCTGCTTGTTTGGAACAATCTCATAATTGAGAAGCTGGTAATTCATCATCAAAGGAAGTAACACAGTGACAACAACCAACAGCAGTTTGTACTGGAAATATTATTCATCTGAGATTAGCTGTACCAGGAATATTTGAATGTATTACATTATTGATAAATCCCAAAGAATAGGCTTATTTACATATTTTCTCCATATAACCACCCATTTAGATTGTATGGCAATACCTCTTCTTCAAGTCATGTATCCGGGTTTAGCCGTGTACCAGTAATACATTGCAGTGTTATGTTTGAGTGTTTGTTTCTGCTAAATGCACACTGCAGGATGTATTGGGTGGATTTCAGGGGGCCCAGATCTTTGAGGCAGTTGGTCTGGACAAAGAGGTCGTTGACCGCTGCTTCGAGGGAACAGCCTCAAGGATTGGGGGTGCCAACTTCAAGGTTCTGGCTACAGAGGTAAGTTTACTATAAATGTAGCAAGTTCATGTTAAAGAAAGGGAGTGGAACAGACCCGGGACTTGGAGTGTTATATATGCTCTCCCATAGTACACTGTCAAAGCTTATAGCTCCTCAGGCACTATCTTATCCGTAAGAATTTATGTATTTTCTTTTAACTCGTTAGACAATGAAACCTAATTCTAATGGCAGCAAGATATTTCTCATTTGAAAAAAATGTTTCATTAGTTACTGAATCTAATTTACAGTCATATGCTTTTCCAGCTGTTGAACCGTCACTCTTTTGCCTACAAGTCTCGAGAATGTGACAACATCATTGTGGCTGATCCTGGCTTCTACCACTGGCGAGACGGGGGGGAGAAACACATGAACGACCCTCTGACCATCGGCAATCTACAGGTCAGTCTGCTGGTCTCCTTGTTCACATCAATAGTCCTCTCAACAGTGTTTGCTTTGACTTTTAACATACAACTCTGGAGAGTTATGCCCCCACCTAAAAGAGTGGGGTTATATAGTTATACCAAGGAATTCCGCCGCCCATCCACAAACAGAGAATTGTTTTTACTTCAACATTTGTGTGACCTATACCTTGATAACTCCTTCATTGATTCTATTCCAGTTGGGGGTACAGTTTCTATATTTGGATACCTATTTTGTTAAGTGGATTTTCTAAGAAAATATTGCTTTTTTCATATTTTGAACTTAGAAATATGTTTGAGTTGAAGTCGGGTGTATAAGTGAGCCCTGCTCACTTTTTGCCTTGTTAGTAAGACATGTTGTGTAATTTGCTGGCAAGTATTGTGTCCTGTGTGAACAGGAGGCTGTCAAGACCAATAGTAAGGATGCCTACTCTCGCTTTGTGGAATCTTCCATGAAGTCGTCCCAGCAGTGTGCCCTGCGTGGTCAGATGGACTTCGTCTTCTCTGACCACCCACTGGACATTGCTGAAGTTGAAGAGGCAAAGTTCATTGTCCGGAGATTCTGCACAGGTATTCATGTATTAATCATTGTCTACATTGATATAATAATCATGTCTTTTAAATTTTGAATGCTAAGACAATGTATTAATAGTTTAGGCATGATGTCATTCTTTTGTGAACAAAAATATCAATAAACTGCTGATTATTATGTGCATCACAAACTTTGACCTCTCCACATGCAGGTGGTGGGGTAGCCTCGTTGTTACAACATTTGCTTGTCAAGCCTAAGGCCCGGATTTGATTCCCCACATGGGCTAAACGTGGCGTAACACTATAACACATACAAAGGAACCAACGTGTTTGTTGATATGGTTCTGAAATAACTTTTGGACTGTTTATCTTACTTTCTATGTAGAAAATGAATTGAATAATGTTATTTGCAATAATAGTTTCCATTTACCAAAAATGTATAATATTTCTGTTGGCTTCATTGATGTTACTGAATGATATGTTGTGATATAAGGGGCCATGAGTTTTGGCAGCATCTCCTATGAGGCCCACACCACGCTGGCAATGGCCATGAACAGAGTGGGAGCCAAGTCCAACACTGGGGAGGGAGGGGAGAACCCAGAGAGGTACCTCAACGAGGACCCACAGTTCAACACCAAGTCCAAGATCAAACAGGTTGGTGTTCCTCCTAATATCTAATTATGGGAATCTAATTATCTAACATCAAGGGAATTAAGATACTCGTTTGACTTAACACTTCATATTTCTTGACAGATTTTATTTTATGAAGTGTATCCAGTAATAAGGAGTAGACGTAGGTATATGTTCTGTTTGTTGTTGCAGGTTGCATCAGGGAGGTTTGGCGTGACCAGTTCCTACCTCTCTCACGCAGATGAGCTTCAGATCAAGATGGCGCAGGGAGCCAAACCAGGCGAGGGAGGAGAGTTGCCTGGATACAAGGTCTGAGTCCATGTGTTGGGGAACATATGTAGTTCACACTGGCACTGGTAGATGTTCTGTACCCTCTCATCATGCAGTTATTACAATGATTTCTAGTTTTGAAATGCTTTGTAGCATAGGTGTTTTTATTGATCAATTCTAAAATTGCTAAAATTACAACATGTTTCTGTCATGGTGATATATGGATTTATTACCTATTTCAGGTGACAAAAGACATTGCACGCACACGTCACTCTATCCCTGGGGTGGGTCTCATCAGCCCTCCCCCTCACCACGACATCTACTCCATCGAGGATCTGGCAGAGGTGTGTGCACACTTTGTGTCAAGAAACTGGAGGAGTCTGTGATGTGTGTTTCTGTTTGTAGTTGATGCATGACCTGAAACTGGAGGATTCTGTGATGTGTGTTTCTGTTTGTAGTTGATCCATGACCTGAAACTGGAGGAGTCTGTGATGTGTGTTTCTGTTTGTAGTTGATCCATGACCTGAAACTGGAGGAGTCTGTGATGTGTGTTTCTGTTTGTAGTTGATCCATGACCTGAAACTGGAGGAGTCTGTGATGTGTGTTTCTGTTTGTAGTTGATCCATGACCTGAAACTGGAGGAGTCTGTGATGTGTGTTTCTGTTTGTGGTTGATGCATTACCTGAAACTAAAGGAGTCTGTGATGTGTGTTTCTGTTTGTAGTTGATCCATGACCTGAAACTGGAAGAGTCTGTGATGTGTGTTTCTGTTTGTAGTTGATGCATGACCTGAAACTGGAGGAGTCTGTGATGTGTGTTTCTGTTTGTAGTTGATGCATGACCTGAAACTGGAGGAGTCTGTGATGTGTGTTTCTGTTTGTAGTTGATCCATGACCTGAAACTGGAGGAGTCTGTGATGTGTGTTTCTGTTTGTAGTTGATGCATGACCTGAAACTGGTTGATTCTGTGATGTGTGTTTCTGTTTGTAGTTGATGCATGACCTGAAACTAAAGGAGTCTGTGATGTGTGTTTCTGTTTGTAGTTGATCCATGACCTGAAACTGGAGGAGTCTGTGATGTGTGTTTCTGTTTGTAGTTGATCCATGACCTGAAACTGGAGGAGTCTGTGACGTGTGTTTCTGTTTGTAGTTGATCCATGACCTGAAACTGGAGGAGTCTGTGATGTGTGTTTCTGTTTGTAGTTGATGCATGACCTGAAACTGGTTGATTCTGTGATGTGTGTTTCTGTTTGTAGTTGATGCATGACCTGAAACTAAAGGAGTCTGTGATGTGTGTTTCTGTTTGTAGTTGATCCATGACCTGAAACTGGAGGATTCTGTGATGTGTGTTTCTGTTTGTAGTTGATGCATGACCTGAAACTGGAGGAGTCTGTGATGTGTGTTTCTGTTTGTAGTTGATCCATGACCTGAAACTGGAGGAGTCTGTGATGTGTGTTTCTGTTTGTAGTTGATCCATGACCTGAAACTGGAGGAGTCTGTGATTTGTGTTTCTGTTTGTAGTTGATCCATGACCTGAAACTGGAGGAGTCTGTGATGTGTGTTTCTGTTTGTAGTTGATCCATGCCTTGAAACTGGAGGAGTCTGTGATGTGTGTTTCTGTTTGTAGTTGATCCATGACCTGAAACTGGAGGAGTCTGTGATGTGTGTTTCTGTTTGTAGTTGATCCATGACCTGAAACTAAAGGAGTCTGTGATGTGTGTTTCTGTTTGTAGTTGATGCATGACCTGAAACTGGAGGAGTCTGTGATGTGTGTTTCTGTTTGTAGTTGATCCATGACCTGAAACTGGAGGAGTCTGTGATGTGTGTTTCTGTTTGTAGTTGATCCATGACCTGAAGGCTGCCAATCCAGATGCCCGGATCAGTGTCAAGCTGGTGTCTGAGATGGGAGTTGGTATTGTTGCCTCAGGTGTTGCCAAGGTGAACTTCGCATTTATTCATCAGTAACCAATAGATAAGAACAAATGTACTCCATTCTTTACATATTCACACACCAATATCATCTCACTACCCATATCCCTGATTTGTTGTTTTCCTCATGGTTTGGGATCCAGGAAGTGAAGATAGGTCGCTGAACAATTCTTTAACAGTGTCCCTGTTTGAGCAATCATGAAGTAACCCACTGACAACAGAAATGTAGGATATGCTCACTTGTTTCAATAAGTTGTCAACATTTAAAATAACAATGAACCCCTTATTATCCTGGTGAGCTGAAAACCACACGATCACCAAGCAATGGAAAACTTTCTATCAAGCATTTCTTTTACTGAGAAAATAGTAACCTAATTTTCATTGATGTTTCTCATTGAGCCAATATAGCTGACATTCTTAAGAAACTTGACATAATTTAATTGGGAAATTTTAGAATTCCATATATAATTAGGAAGAAATGTTTTCTGTTGATAACATATATCATAAGAATGCAAGAATTGGGCACAACAAGGGAAGTTGTTGCATTTGCGTGTATCTTGTTCAGGGCAAAGCGGAGCATATCACAATATCTGGACATGATGGTGGCACTGGCGCTAGTAGCTGGACCGGTATCAAGAATGCTGGGTTGCCTTGGGAACTTGGGATCTCAGAGACTCACCAGACTCTGGTCCTCAACGACCTCAGGTCTAGAGTCGTGCTACAGGCAGATGGACAGATTAGATCAGGTGAGAAATATAGGAATGGTATTTGAACAAATCCGTACAATGCATTAGAAGAAATTGACGAATGTTCACTGCGAACATGAAAGTAGGACCCATAAGCTAAGGCATTACATATGGCAACTATGCATGCATGCCAGGATGGGATGACCTCTGGAAAGAAGGGAGTTAAGCTTCATACGATATAGCATTCATATAGCAGTGTTAGTGTTGACTAGTGCTCTGTTCCCTGTGTTTCAGGAAGGGATGTCCTGATCGCTGCCATGTTAGGAGCAGACGAGTTCGGTTTCAGTACAGCTCCACTCATAGCACTCGGCTGCACCATGATGAGGAAGTGCCACCTTAACACCTGCCCTGTTGGCATAGCAACACAGGTAAAGCCAAACATTTTAATAACAACTTTTCTTGATTCTGATTGATTTCTCTTCGCTGACACAAAGATTACATAGTCCTCACTGTTATTTGTATGGCCTCCAGTATACAGTCTGTTACAGACTAGGACTGTCGCAGTATAACTTCATGTACTTGGAGGGTAGAATGTGGCCCCATCACCCCATTGTGTACATGGAGGGCTTTAGTGGTTTAGATGAGGTACAGGATTATCTATAAAGCTGATTGTGGATGTTGTGAACTGTGGTGGTGTTGCAGGACCCTGTGTTGAGGGCCAAGTTTGCTGGGAAGCCGGAGTACGTAGTCAACTTTCTGTTCCTGTTGGCGGAGGAGGTAAGTCGCGCAGCTGGTCCTGCTGTCTCCAGACACAGTGAGACACTGCTGTATCCTATAGTCAACCCACGGATAGATTAAAAAAACCATGCTATCTGTCATTATACAAATCATGTTACAAATCTGTCTTTGTGATCTCATACCCATAACTAATGATGGTTTCTTCCTGGTATGGACATTCTGTATATTAAGGTGAAAAGGACAGACATATATTCCCCATAGAGGCTTAAAATAGCTTGAAATAGCTGCCTTCCGTTTGTCTTCTGGCCAGTTATTGTGTTATAGTTAAAACACTCCTCCTCAGCTTTCATTGAAAATGTAAAACCTGTGACGAGGGTAAAACCAAAGGGCCAAATTGTCTAGATGCAAGAAATACCAAGGCTTAATTCTCTCTATCAAGTTACATATTTAACACTTCTGGACTAAGAACTCCTGCTGCGTTGTCCCAGGTGCGTGAGTTGATGGCCAAGATTGGTGTGAGGTCCATCCAGGAGTTGATCGGACGCACGGACAAGCTCAAGTTCAGTCCAGACCCAGAGAACCCAAAGGCTCAGCTTCTGGACTTCTCCAAGATCCTGAAGAACGCGCTGGAAATCCGGCCTGGCGTCAGCATCCAGGGGGGAACTGTCAAACAGCTGTTTGGCTTTGAGAAGAGACTGGTAGGTCTACTCGCTGTCCTACAACTATTAAAGATGGGAGCATCTGCTTTATTAACTGTTGTCTGTGGAATGATTTCATCATCTGAGATCTTATATTATCTCATTTTTTTCTTGGAATAACTCAATCTACACAATTATTTTAGAGCAATTGCTATCCAATGTTTCACTGGGCAGTAGTTGACTGACTAGACACTACACTACACTACACTACACTACACATGAAATGAATCCTACAATATAAGATTGTTGAACCGAATGGCACTTTAAGTTCCAGATATCATGTAGGACTTCTATCAGATATTTTAGGGTCATTTACATTATATTGATGATAGTGTTTTTGTTTGTTATATATCCATGTTCACAGAAAACTCTCTACTTTGTTAACAGGACAACTTTCTTATAGCAAAGGCAGCTGATGTGTTCGAAGGTCGCACGAAGCAGGTTGTCATTGAACTGAAGGTCACTAACGAAGACCGAGCATTTGCTTCAACCCTCAGCTACCACATCTCAAGGTAGGTCCAGAGGATATAAAACACATAACAGTGCCTGATGGTAGTAAATATGATGAGGTCCAGAGGATATAACGCACAAAACAGTGCCTGATGGTAGTAAATAGGATGAGGTCCAGAGGATATAACGCACAAAACAGTGCCTGATGGTAGTAAATAGGATGAGGTCCAGAGGATATAACGCACAAAACAGTGCCTGATTGTAGTAAATAGGATGAGGTACAGAGGATATGACACACAAAACAATGCCTGATGGTAGTAAATAGGATGAGGTCCAGAGGATATAACGCACAAAACAATGCCTGATGGTAGTAAATAGGATGAGGTCCAGAGGATATAACACACAAAACAGTTCTTGAGGGTGTAAATAGGATGAGGTACAGAGGATATGACACACATAACAGTGCCTGATGGTAGTAAATAGGATGAGGTCAAGAGGATATAACACACAAAACAGTGCTTGATGGTAGTAAATAGGATGAGGTCCAGAGGGTATAACATTCAAAACAGTGCCTGATGGTAATAAATAGGATGAGGTACAGAGGATATAACACACAAAACAGTGCTTGAGGGTAGTACATAGGGTGAGGTCCAGAGGATATAACACACAAAACAGTGCCTGATGGTAGTAAATAGGATGAGGTCCAGAGGATATAACACACAAAACAGTGCCTGATGGTAGTAAATATGATGAGGTCCAGAGGATATAACGCACAAAACAGTGCCTGATGGTAGTAAATAGGATGAGGTCCAGAGGACATAACACACAAAACAGTGCCTGATGGTAGTAAATATGATGAGGTCCAGAGGATATAACACACAAAACAGTGCCTGATGGTAGTAAATAGAATAAGTAAATAAGTCCAGAGACTACACCAATAGCAGTGGCCGATGGTAGTAAATAGGATGAGGACCAGAGACTACACCAATAGCAGTGGCCGATGGTAGTAAATAGGATGAGGTCCAGAGGATATGACACATCATAAATGTGCCTGATGGAAGTAAATGTTTAGTTACCGGTATAGGCTGTATTGAGGATATTCTGTTTGCAGACGGTTTGTTGAGGTGGGCCTACCCGACAACAGCATTGTGCTGAGACTGACTGGGTCTGGAGGTCAGAGCTTCTGTGCCTTCATGGCTAAGGGAGTCCATGTTACACTGGAGGGAGATGCCAACGATTATGTCTGCAAGGTGAGTCGGCAGCTTCCTGGCACTATTATATCTCCAACCCCATGGGAAGTGCAGGCAGAATACGTCCCTAGTAATCCATGTCATTAGAGTCGGTGAAAGAGGAGTGTGTGTCTGGCTCATTGTGTAGCACTGTACCTACTACTACTAGTGCGCCTGGCCCAGACTTGAACATTGGCAGACTACTGTGACAAACCAGCAATATAGGTGACACACACAGGAACAACAGTTCCATAGAACCTTGTTAGTATGAAGGTGAGTTGGGTTTGCAAAAGCTTGTGATACTGACTGTCACTGAACACACACCCAAGTTGAGCTTGTATGCAGTTTTGGAGACAGGCTAACACATTTAAACTGTATGTTATCAGGGTCTGTCTGGAGGCGAGCTTGTCATCTACCCACCAAAGGATATGCCAGTCAGCTTCAAGTCTGAGAACAACATCGTTGTGGGGAACGTGTGTCTGTATGGAGCCACGTCAGGCAAAGCCTTCTTCCGGGGCCAGGCAGCTGAGAGGTTCTGTGTGAGGAACTCAGGGGCTATTGCTGTCTGTGAGGTGAGGTGTCTTGTGTTTCACTTCCTTGTGTCACTGAATGCAGTGTATCTGTAAGAATGTCACTGCCAAATCATACAGAGGCTTTACTCATCATTTTTCTTTTGATATCCTGACCATTTTGTAATAACAGCTAGATCTAGCTGGATATTCGCGAGATTGTACAAGTACTGTAGTTGTTTTGTGGGGTTCTATTCCTGAGATTGTACAAGTACTCTGGCTGTTTTGTGGAGTACTATTCCTGAGATTGTACAAGTGCTGTAGTTGTTTTGTGGGGTTCTATTCCTGAGATTGTACAAGTGCTGTAGTTGTATTGTGGGGTTCTATTCCAGAGATTGTACAAGTACTGTAGTTGTTTTGTGGGGTTCTATTCCTGAGATTGTACAAGTACTCTGGCTGTTTTGTGGAGTACTATTCCTGAGATTGTACAAGTACTCTAGTTGTATTGTGGGGTTCTATTCCTGAGATTGTACAAGTACTCTGGCTGTTTTGTGGAGTACTATTCCTGAGATTGTACAAGTGCTGTAGTTGTATTGTGGGGTTCTATTCCTGAGATTGTACAAGTGCTGTAGTTGTATTGTGGGGTACTATTCCTGAGATTGTACAAGTACTGTAGTTGTATTGTGGGGTTCTATTCCTGAGATTGTACAAGTGCTGTAGTTGTATTGTGGGGTTCTATTCCTGAGATTGTACAAGTGCTGTAGTTGTATTATGAGGTTCTATTCCTGAGATTGTACAAGTACTGTAGTTGTATTGTGGGGTTCTATTCCTGAGATTGTACAAGTGCTGTAGTTGTATTGTGGGGTTCTATTCCTGAGATTGTACAAGTACTCTGGTTGTTTTGTGGAGTACTATTCCTGAGATTGTACAAGTGCTGTAGTTGTATTGTGGGGTTCTATTCCTGAGATTGTACAAGTGCTGTAGTTGTATTGTGGGGTACTATTCCTGAGATTGTACAAGTACTGTAGTTGTATTGTGGGGTTCTATTCCTGAGATTGTACAAGTGCTGTAGTTGTATTGTGGGGTTCTATTCCTGAGATTGTACAAGTACTCTGGTTGTTTTGTGGAGTACTATTCCTGAGATTGTACAAGTGCTGTAGTTGTATTGTGGGGTTCTATTCCTGAGATTGTACAAGTGCTGTAGTTGTATTGTGGGGTACTATTCCTGAGATTGTACAAGTACTGTAGTTGTATTGTGGGGTTCTATTCCTGAGATTGTACAAGTGCTGTAGTTGTATTGTGGGGTTCTATTCCTGAGATTGTACAAGTGCTGTAGTTGTATTGTGGGGTTCTATTCCTGAGATTGTACAAGTGCTGTAGTTGTATTGTGGGGTTCTATTCCTGAGATTGTACAAGTGCTGTAGTTGTATTGTGAGGTTCTATTCCTGAGATTGTACAAGTACTGTACTTGTTTTGTGGGGTTCTATTCCTGAGATTGTACAAGTACTGTAGTTGTATTGTGAGGTTCTATTCCTGAGATTGTACAAGTACTGTAGTTGTATTGTGGGGTTCTATTCCTGAGATTGTACAAGTACTGTAGTTGTATTGTGGGGTTCTATTCCTGAGATTGTACAAGTGCTGTAGTTGTTTTGTGGGGTTCTATTCCTGAGATTGTACAAGTACTGTAGTTGTATTGTGGGGTTCTATTCCTGAGATTGTACAAGTACTGTAGTTGTATTGTGGGGTTCTATTCCTGAGATTGTACAAGTACTGTAGTTGTATTGTGGGGTTCTATTCCTGAGATTGTACAAGTGCTGTAGTTGTATTGTGGGGTTCTATTCCTGAGATTGTACAAGTGCTGTAGTTGTATTGTGGGGTTCTATTCCTGAGATTGTACAAGTGCTGTAGTTGTATTGTGGGGTTCTATTCCTGAGATTGTACAAGTACTCTGGCTGTTTTGTGGAGTTCTATTCCTGAGATTGTACAAGTACTGTAGTTGTTTTTTGGGGTTCTATTCCTGAGATTGTACAAGTACTCTGGCTGTTTTGTGGAGTTCTATTCCTGAGATTGTACAAGTGCTGTAGTTGTTTTGTGGGGTTCTATTCCTGAGATTGTACAAGTACTGTAGTTGTATTGTGGGGTTCTATTCCTGAGATTGTACAAGTACTGTAGTTGTATTGTGGGGTTCTATTCCTGAGATTGTACAAGTACTGTGGCTGTTTTGTGGAGTACTATTCCTGAGATTGTACAAGTGCTGTAGTTGTATTGTGGGGTTCTATTCCTGAGATTGTACAAGTGCTGTAGTTGTATTGTGGGGTTCTTTTCCTGAGATTGTACAAGTACTGTAGTTGTATTGTGGGGTTCTATTCCTGAGATTGTACAAGTACTCTGGCTGTTTTGTGGAGTACTATTCCTGAGATTGTACAAGTGCTGTAGTTGTATTGTGAGGTTCTATTCCTGAGATTGTACAAGTGCTGTAGTTGTATTGTGGGGTTCTATTCCTGAGATTGTACAAGTGCTGTAGTTGTATTGTGAGGTTCTATTCCTGAGATTGTACAAGTACTGTAGTTGTATTGTGGGGTACTATTCCTGAGATTGTACAAGTACTGTAGTTGTATTGTGGGGTTCTATTCCTGAGATTGTACAAGTGCTGTAGTTGTATTGTGGGGTTCTATTCCTGAGAGTGTACAAGTGCTGTAGTTGTATTGTGGGGTTCTATTCCTGAGATTGTACAAGTACTGTAGTTGTATTGTGGGGTTCTATTCCTGAGATATCCTCAGGGTTGTGTTATGTTCTGTAGTAAGTGTTCAGCTTGGTGTTCCAGGGTTGTGTTATTTTCTGTAGTAAGTGTTCAGTTTGGTGTTCCAGGGTTGTGTTATGGTCTGTAGTAAGTGTTCAGCTTGGTGTTCCAGGGTTGTGTTATGTTCTGTAGTAAGTGTTCAGCTTGGTGTTCCAGGGTTGTGTTATGTTCTGTAGTAAGTGTTCAGCTTGGTGTTCCAGGGTTGTGTTATGTTCTGTAGTAAGTGTTCAGCTTGGTGTTCCAGGGTTGTGTTATTTTCTGTAGTAAGTGTTCAGCTTGGTGTTCCAGGGTTGTGTTATTTTCTGTAGTAAGTGTTCAGCTTGGTGTTCAAGGGTTGTGTTATGTTCTGCAGTAAGTGTTCAGCTTGGTGTTCCAGGGTTGTCTTATGTTCTGTAGTAAGTGTTCAGCTTGGTGTTCCAGGGTTGTGTTATGTTCTGCAGTAAGTGTTCAGCTTGGTGTTCCAGGGTTGTCTTATGTTCTGTAGTAAGTGTTCAGCTTGGTGTTCCAGGGTTGCGGAGACCATGGCTGTGAGTACATGACGGGAGGTCGTGTCATTGTCTTGGGTCTCACAGGCCGAAACTTTGCTGCTGGAATGTCAGGTGGCATTGCCTACTGCTATGACAAGTGAGTTTATGTTGCAATAAAGTTCTATCATTTTGACAATTTGATAAAAAGAACATGTCACACTCTTTGCTTGGACAATTATTCTGTAGTACAGTGCTCAATCTGTTCCCCTACACACCCCTTGATGTTCTCTGTTCCCAGAATCAAGAAGTTTGACCAGCTGTGTAATCAGGAGTCTGTAGCTCTGGAATCTCTCTCATCTGCGGATGCAACATTTTTGGATGAGACTCTCCGAGAATTTGTCGACAAGACTGGATCTGAATTGGCCAAGAACATCCTTGACAACTGGAGTGAAGAAAAACAACACTTTGTAAAGGTCAGCATTCACAAGCATGGTGCACATGCTAGTCTAAGGGGAAATTATCTAGGGAGGTAATATTGTGATTTCACTGCTCTGCTGGGGCATGTCCCTTTGCCTGTTTACAATGTTTTTACAACTCCTTAAAACAACTTGCAGAAGCTGAATTAGTAGGGAGTTTGTATTTCAGTTCAGTTAATACAGCCTACAAGGTAGATGTAAGACAGTGACTCTAGAGTGGTATGACAGCTCATGTTCAGTCCCCCACCTGACCTCCTCAATGTTCGTCTGTGACAACCAGGTATTCCCCCACGAGTACAAACGAGCTATGAAAGAACAGGAACAAGAACAGACTGAGATGAGGAGACAGGAGAGGCCCATCATCAACGGGAACATCGAGGAGGACCAGAGGTCAGAAGACACGACCGACTTGCAGGTAAACACCAGGATCCTTTTGTTCTGCTTGAGTCATAAAGAAGTTATTCTGATTAATATTTTTCTATATTGATAGGTATGATAATTATATTAGGAATCAAGTATCCTTCATTCTGTTGAATATGATTCTTAGGGTGAATTTTGAACATACCCATTGGACAAGTGGTCAGCTGCAACAAAACTAGTGTGGGGAAGCAGGTGTGGTAATTCAAAGTAAACTCAAATGTAAATGCTCAGTCCCTTGGATGTGAAGCCATGCAGCTGATGACAGGATCCTACTTGCCTGCCGTGTTCCAGGTAGTGAGAAGTGAGAAAGTTGTGGACATTGAGTCTGCTATTCCTGACTCCACCATGGACCAGAAGAACCTGGAGCGTGTCCTGGACAAGACTCGGGGCTTCGTCAAGTACAAGCGGGCCACGTATCAGTATAGAGATGCCACCAAGAGATTCCAGGATTGGGGGGAGATCTTTGACCACAAGCAGGTCAAGGATGGACTCCGAATGCAGGCAGCCAGGTGAGTCGCCATGGCAACCTAGACTTCGAAATGAAATCTTGTCATACAGAGTTGCCTCTTTCTGTGAAGATCCGGGGTAGAATAGGTCTTCAGCAACCCATGCTTGCCGTAAAAGGTGACTCTGCTTGTCGTAAAAGGCGAGATCGGGTGGTCAGGCTTGCTGACTTGGTTTGATGCATGTCATCGATCCCAGTTGCGTGGATCGATGCTCATGATATTAATCACTGGATTGTCTGGTACAGACTCGATTATTTACAGACCGCCGTCATATAGCTGGAATATTGCTGAGTGCGGCGTTAAACAACAAACAAACAAATCTTTCTGTAAAGAAGACAGTAACAATTTTGCCAACCACTTTGGCACATATTTGAATAAAGATGTTGGACAATTTACTAGCTGATTCCTACAGTTTCCCACAGGGAAGTTTTAAAGTTCATTTAGAGCCATTCTTCAAAGATAGTAGCAGGCAGTACTGAGTGGACCAACCAGTGATCTGTTCCTCATTGCAGGTGCATGGACTGCGGTGTCCCCTTCTGCCAGTCTGACCACGGCTGTCCCCTCAGTAACATCATCCCCAAGTGGAACAATCTCGTCTTCCAGGTCAGTCTGCTACAGCAAACATGGAGGAGGAAGTGTTGTATTCAGGCGGCCTGCAGTTGATCTGTGTCCTGTGTCAAATTATCAACATCAGTCTCTAGATATAAGACTGAGCGTTAGGATTAAAAAAACCAGTTGTAGTGAAGAACTGTATTTGATAATTAGCTGTTTTGTTTCCTTGATACCTATGAGCAGTCATTTGGTCAAACTTTCATTGTCACTGGGGAAGGGCGATGTTTTGACGTATTGTTCAAATCGTCGTGTCATCTTTGGTGTTTTCAGTCCAAGAAACAAGGACAATCTATGTTCATTCATAATAAATGACTGGTCATTTTATTATTGGTATGGGGAGGGTGTGTTTGAGATGGGAGAGGGAAGGAAAGAATGACAGAGATGGGGAGTCGCATTTCAAACTGCTATTTTGTCTATTTATATTAAGTATTATGACTTATATTTAATTACATTAAGTAATGCGTTACCACTGTTATACCGAGGCTGTTGTCTCCCACAACTGCTGCTATAGCGAAATCTACCACAGAGATCTCAATTACCTCATGCAGCACGTGTGTAGCCACCTAGCTGCCATGTGACACCCTTCACTCTTGTCTCCTTCGTCTGCGTAGCAAGACGTGTATACCTACTGCTGAAGCGTTCCTTGAATATTTGGTGATATTTATTATAGTTTATTCTCTAATAAACTGTGCATTTTATGGGGCGTTGCGGTAGCTACGCTTGGTTATAATTTTCCCGCCAAACGGAATTTTTTTGTATGTTTTGGGGGTTAACATCACTTATTTCTTTATATAAAAGTTATATGTGTATGTTATATGTTCACATTGCTCGTTTATTTTCTTGTGAAAATGCTTGTTTGTGAATCATTGTGGTGCGTGAGTTGTAACCATGTTTTGTTCTTTCTTTATAGAATACAAACAATGTCTGACATGGAATTGTCCCCAGTCTCCACCCCCTCTACCCCTGTTCCTCGGAGTTGCGGGGTGTGCCTAAATTTTTTGTCGTCCCGGGATCCCCACGATCGTTGCCCGCGGTGCAGGGTTCCTTGCGGGGACACCCGGTGCACCCTGTGCGAAGGTCTGGGGCCTGCGGAGTTTGAGCATTACCGACTGTACGTCCAGTCAGTCTCCACCCCTGTGGTGGCCGGTTCGTCTGGTCGGGGTCCCCGTGCGGGTACCACCCTCTCGGCTGCGGCGGATCCCTTTGCGGCCCTCGGGCTGTCTGGGGATTCCGTCGCCGCATTGTTGTCGAAACTTGTGGACTCCAAGCTAGCCGTGGGTTCGGACGCGGGGTCCACCGGTACGGCTGCGGCTGCCGTGGTTACCGGTCCTTCCCCCGAACCGTTGCTTCCGCTATCGGTTAAGGACTGCGTGGCCATGGTTTATGACCTCTTTGAGGACATGCCAAAGCCCCTGCCGATACCGCGGGGAATCCACGGTTCCGTGGGTTCCTCCAAGGTGTACGACGAGACGTCCGACAAGGCTTTCCCGGCATCAACCTTGCTGAGCGGGATTTAGCCTTCTTCCTACGGACCGTGACCAGCACATTTACAACTGCTTGCTCGGTTTAAATGCTTCCCTGGAGTATGTTGCCGGGGCTTCAGCCTTTATTTCCGGCACGTGCCATTTTCTTCGGCGCCAGTCGTATCTGGTTGCTTCAGGATTGGACGCTGCCAATCAGGAGGTGCTCCTTTCGCAGCCTTGGTCTGCTCGGACCCTCTTTAATAACAAGATCCCTGGGGTTCTGAAGGGACAACAGGCTGCTGGGTCTGCCGAGGCCTCTCGGCACACACTGGATCTTGTGGGGTCCTTGCATAGGCGCCTGGGTGCCCCTCCGAGGCAGAGCACGCCCCAGGATGCTGCTTCCGGCAGGCCTAAGGGGTCGGGTTCTTCTTCCTCCGGGAAGAAGCCCCGCTCTGAGGGCTCCGGTAAGGGTTCTCAGCAGCCCTTTCGCGGGAACAAGGGGAACTGGGGGAAGCCCAAGTCGTCTAAGGATGGCAAGGGCCCCTCCAGGTGACTCTCATCTTCGTATGCCAACAGCGCCAACTTCGGTTGGCCCGTAGGCGAACCCGAGTCACTTGGCCCTGGACAGTTGCGCCTGCCGCAGCCTGTCAGGCCCCCCTCTCCTTCCCCAGTGGGAGCCAGACTCCAGACTTACTGGGAGAATTGGGAACAAGTGTTCGACGACCCGTGGGTGGTCAACACGATTCGGTACGGCTATCGGCTCGATCTCAAAGTGAATCCGCCGCTCACCGTTGCCCCGTCGGCAGGTTTCTATTCGGAAACCGATCTTCCCTTCCTCGAGGATGCCATCGGCAGGTTGGTGGAGAAGAGGGCAGTTCAGGAGTTAGCTCTACCAGAAATAACACCGGGGTTTTACTCCAGGATATTTCTCGTTCCCAAGAAGGACAGTGCCGAACTCAGAATGATTCACAACTTGAAATCGTTCAACGTGTTCTACCTGCGCAAGCCGCCCAAGTTCAGAATGTTGAAAGCACTGATCATGCCGGCCGACTGGCTCGCTTCAATCGACCTGAAGGATGCTTATCTGCATGTTCCGATTCACCCGGATCATCACATATCAGGTTTGTCTTTCAAGGCAGGCACTACGATTGGGTTGTACTCCCATTTGTTCTTTCATCCGCTCCCTGGCTGTTCACCAGGTTAACCACCCCCATAGTGGGGTTCCTCCACCGGAGGGGTGTCCGGTACTTCGCGTACCTGGACGACTCGCTAGTAGCAAATCGAATGACGGACACCATGTCACGCCATGTCGTTTTCGCACGTCGGCTCTTGGAGCAATTGGGGTGGATTATCAGTCTCCCCAAGAGCGAGTTAACCCCTTCTCAGAACTTGCAGTTCATCGGAGGTCGGTTCAACCCGGTGTCCCATCGCCTCTTTGCCCCCCCAGACCGGTGGCACAAGATTCAGGCGATGATTGCCAAAGTCTTAGCGGTGCAACAGACTGTTCACTTTTGGGAACAGCTGTTAGGGCTACTTGTATCAGCCCAGGACTGCACGGAACGGGGTCATCTCCAACTCCGCCCACTGCAACGTTTTTTAATCCAGTTGTTAGCAACGGAGGTGAACAGTGCGACCGTCGCCCTCCCGGATCGGCTCCGACCGCATCTTGAGTGGTGGACGGTCCCTTACAATGTCTTATCAGGAGACTCTATGCGGCCCTACCGGGCCACGTTGAACCTGTATACAGACACCTCTCTAGTGGGCTGGGGCTAGGTCTTCACATCAATTGTCTCGAGTTCAAGGCAGTGATCAACGCAGTCAATCACTAGAAGCATCGTCTCGTCGACGCCCGGCTCATGCTGGCGACCGACAACACGACGGTATTGTCCTATGTGAACAAACTGGGGGGAACCCACAGTCACTCGCTACTCGATCTCACGTTCGAGTTTTACGCTCTGGTGGACAGTGTCCCGTGCCAGATACGCGCCCCTCACATCCCAGGTGTGCGGAACGTACTGGCCGATGCTCTATCGAGGGCTCAGGATCCGAGCCACACGGAGTGGATGCTGAACCCAGTAGTGTTTCAGTGGCTGTGCGAACGTTTGGGTCGTCTGATGGTCGGCCTGTTTGCAACGCGGTTCAACAATCAACTCCCGTTGTTTGTATCACCAGTGCCGGACCCGAGGGCCATCGATCACGATGCTCTCGCGTTAGACTGGACAGACTTGGACGCTTATGCTTACCCGCCGACAGCGTTGATACCACACATTCTAAGCCGGCTCCGAGGAGTTCGCTGTCGAATGTTACTGATCGCGCCCATGTGGCCGAACAGATCGCGGTACCCCTTGCTGACCCAGGTCACGCAGTCGCCACTTCCACTGCCTGTGAGACCGGATCTCTTGATCCACCCTCACACCCGTCAGCTTCATCCAAACGCAGGGCAGTTCAATCTGCACACGTGGATGTTGTCACCGAGCGTCTGAGGAGTAAAGGTGTTTCTTGCCGGGCGTCTTGGGCATACGTTAGTATGCATCGTGATTCTACCCAGAAGGTGTATAATGCACGTTGGGTTATTTTCACGAAAGTGGTGTTGTAAACATCACATTCATTCGCCAGATAAGGTATCTGTGCAGGATATTGCTCGTTTCATGTCTCACTTGCGAGAGACCTGGAAACTCTCTGGGGGTTCCATTGCCAACTATGTCTCATCCGTTGCTACGGTACGGGACGTTGCTATGGGTACCAGTCTCTCCAAAGAGCCGGTGATACGGGGTATTATCAAGGGTTTCAAACAGCACGATCTTAAGAAGGGCCGCCTTCGGGCACCGGCCTGGGATCTTTCCCTAGTGTTGCAAATACTTACGGAAGCTCCGCATGAACCCTTGCATAGTGCTTCGTTCTGGCATGTGACTTGGAAAACAGCATTTCTCCTCTCCTTTGCCACGGCGGCACGTGTATCCGAAATTCATGCACTCGATGTCGCCAAGGTACGATTCGATAGGGGTGACGAAGGAGCGGTCAGCCTGGGCCTGCTCATGGGCTTCGTCGCCAAGAATCAGAGAATCGGGCAAACGGAGAGAGAATTCACTGTAAGATCACTCAAAGAAATCTTACATCCTGCTGATACTGAGGACAGAGCGCTGTGTCCGGTTAGGGCCCTTAAGTATTATCTTAAGGCTTCGAATGAACGTAGACAAGGGCGTGAGCGTCTGTTCATATCGTGTAACCCTAATTCGACGGTTGACATTAACTCGCAACTCGATTGCGTTGTGGCTTTGTTCTGTCATCAATCTGGCGTACCGGTCTCGGGGGTTACCGGTAGCGGGGTCAAACCCGCACGAGATCAGGGCGCTAGCGGCAACATTTGCCCTACACTCGAATATCTCTGTTCACAGAATATTACGAGGTTGTTACTGGCGTTCTGACTCGGTTTTTGCCAATCATTACCTCAGAAAGGTTTCTGATGAAGACGTGGAGGGGGTGCACCGTCTTGGGCCGTTGATCGCGGCACAAGCGGTCATCTAGGGGGTGTGTCCAGCGCAATTCCAAACTCCGCAGTCGTCAGTCCTTGCATGGTGGTCAATCTGGGTCATCTCCAATGTTCCCACGCCGTGCAAACTAGCGCACTCACACCACAGGTGAGGCGGCTTTTTGTGTGTTTTGTCCTTATTTGTATTTTGACAATTATGCATTTAATTGTCTGTCGTGTATTCCAACCTTGTGATACATGCTTACGAATACTGGAATTAGGTCACGCGCCTATTACATACTTTAAGTAGGCTTGCTCGGGGATATACAGTCTGAATGAAATTAATTTCCCTCTTTCGACTGTTTAACCTGATCTTAGATTTAGCTCACGCAGATACAGTGTTCTCATCCGCTGCGGCGATGAAATACCTATCCAGTGGGGCCGTTTGGAGTCACCAATCGTTTTGGCAATGACGATTGAGCCTTACGGTATGCGCTTGACAGTGCTTTGGTATTCCTATAGGGTAACGCCTAGCTAGGTGCATGCGCATCGAGTGCTTCCGCCTTGGTGTTTACTTCCGCTGGTCGGAAGGAACGCTAGCAGTCTGGATTCGGGTTGTAGGTGCTCCCCACCGCCTACTGTGGTAGTCAGCCTCTGTATAACAGTGGTAACGTATTACTTAATGTAATTTGTAGAATTTTCCGATTCGGAATATTCTATAAGTAATACGTTACCACTGGGCTGCTGCCCGCCCGTCCGTCCCCCGAGCACTTGCTCTCGCAAGAGACAAGAGTGAAGGGTGTCACATGGCAGCTAGGTGGCTACGCACGTGCTGCATGAGGTAATTGAGATCTCTGTGGTAGATTTCGCTATAGCAGCAGTTGTGGGAGACAACAGCCTCGGTATAACAGTGGTAACGTATTACTTATAGAATATTCCGAATAGGAAAATTCTACAAGATTAGAAAGTACAAATGCGAAGACACTACAGCAGAACTCACTTCTACGAACATCGCCAAACAAGGTCGTGGGGTCATTAATATTCATGAGTTATTCCTTTTATGGAACAAGTTCTTGGAAAATTTTGAGGCTTGTATCATGTCTGAGTTCAATTCAAGTGTAGACATATTTTCAGGCTTATATCGCCACCAAAACGTATGATTAGATTGATGTGTTATACCAGAAAAAGTAGAATGAGTGGTATTGCCTCTTTAAATTTAATTTGAAGTAGATCTAAGTTTCTTGCTTTGTAACTATTTTTGCAAAACTATTATGGAACGAGTGTGGTCAGCTTTGACGACCTTATTCAAACTTCAAAGACTTAATGTGCCTTTTGTGGAATGAGCGTCACACTTAAGATATTTCCCATCAATATTACAAAATGAGAATAATATATAATGCCACATACCCATGCAAAGTAATGACAAATGAGAGCCCACTAAATGACTTAGTCAACCCAATGAAGCCCAGCGATTTACAAATGTGGGCCCACCTTTTCGATCACTATATGACGGAAGAAGTGGTCCCACATTTTAGAAATTGGTTATAAGTAAGCCAAGCTAATGAAGCTTAGCGATTTATAAATGTGGTCCCTCCTGTTGCAATCACTATGACGGAAGAATGTCTACCCTGTTTGTTTCGATCACCACCGGGAACAATGTGGGCCCACATTTTAGGAAATGGTTATCAGCACTAAACGAATCTTAGATGTACGGATGGAAACATAAATATATAATGCATTCTGTCATTTAATTAAGAATACATTTTACCTGAGGGATAAGCTGGGCATGTAATAGCTGGACCAACAACAACGTACAGTGTGGCTGACGCCATGTCACGCAAATACTATAAAAAAGGGAGATAACTCCCATTTGAAATTAGAGTGACCTCCCTTTCCCAATATGAACCACTGATAATGCGGTTTCGCCGCATGGTCAGTTGCCTACATAGGTACACTGTGTGTAGCCTGTTCTTCAGTGCCCCCATAGCAAGGTATCATACTTGCTGTTGATATCAAGCACTCGTCCAGATACATTCCCCATCAAACAACTGTGTGTTGAGACTGTATATAACCCTGTGTATCCTACTGACCGATGTACTTATCCCTGTGTACAGAACAAGTGGAAACAGGCCCTGGATCAGCTTCTACAGACAAACAACTTTCCTGAGTTCACCGGCCGAGTGTGCCCAGCACCATGCGAGGTACGTTACACCAGGATCATTTTTCTGTTATTTAAACTCAAAGATTGCCTCATAGAATAGGCTAAGAAGACACAGACTATTGGAGTTTATTTACCATCTTGTTTGTATATATCACTTCAGGGTGCCTGTGTGCTTGGCATCAACATGCCAGCTGTGACAATCAAGAACATTGAGAATGCCATCATCGACCACGGGTTTGAGCAGGGATGGATCAAACCAGAGCCTCCCGCACAACGGACAGGGAAGAAGATCACTATCGCTGGCAGTGGCCCTGCTGGACTCGCTGCTGCATCCCAACTCAATAAGGTATAGTGACAGAATGCATTTAGGTGGACTCAGTCAGTTTGTCAGTGAGGATTCCATTGAGATCAGGATCAGAAAGGCCACAACCCCTCGGGCTTGAGCAACCTTGCTGATTTGTGTGTCTCACCCTGCTGGCCTGAATTGTTGTTTGTGCTATCAACTTCTGGGCCCGTTTCACAAAACAGTCATAGCTTACCTTTGCCTTACGCTGATACTTTAACACAGACTTAAGACAACTTGTGTGCTGACATTACTCTGTAGAATGGGGTCCTGGTTTATCTCTTCCACACCCACATATATCTGCTGGTCTATATATGCAGGTCTATATCTGCTGGTCTATATATGCAGGGCTATATCTGCTGGTCTATATATGCTGGTCCATATATGCTGGTCCATATATGCTGGTCCATATATGCAGGGCTATATCTGCTGGTCTATATATGCAGGGCTATATATGCTGGGCTATATATGCTGGTCTCTCTATGCTGGTCTATATATGCTGGTCTTTATATGCTGGTCTCTCTATGCTGGTCTATATATGCAGGGCTATGTCTGCTTGTCTATATATGCTGGTCTATATATGCAGGGCTATATATGCTGGTCTATATATGCTGGTCTCTCTATGCTGGTCTCTCTATGCTGGGCTATATGTGCTGGTCTATATATGCTGGTCTATATCTGCTGGTCTATATATGCTGGTCTATATATGCAGGGCTATATATGCTGGTCTATATATGCTGGTCTCTCTATGCTGGTCTCTCTATGCTGGTCTATATATGCTGGTCTATATATGCTGGTCTCTCTATGCTGGTCTCTCTATGCTGGTCTATATATGCTTGTCTATATATGCAGGGCTATGTCTGCTTGTCTATATATGCTGGTCTATATATGCAGGGCTATATATGCTGGTCTCTCTATGCTGGTCTATATATGCTGGTCTATATATGCAGGGCTATGTCTGCTTGTCTATATATGCTGGTCTATATATGCAGGGCTATATATGCTGGTCTATATATGCTGGTCTCTCTATGCTGGTCTATATATGCTGGGCTATCTATGCTGGGCTATATATGCTGGGGTTATATGCTGGGCTATCTATGCTGGGCCATCTATGCTGGGGTTATATGCTGGGCTATCTATGCTGGGCCATCTATGCTGGGCCATCTATGCTGGGCCATCTATGCGGGGCCATCTGTGCTGGGCCATCTATGCTGGGCCATCTTTGCTGGGCCATCTATGCTGGGGTTATCTACTCGGCCATCTTTGCTGGGCTATCTATGCTGGGCCATCTATGCGGGGCCATCTGTGCTCGGCCATCTATGCTGGGCCATCTTTACTGGACCATCTATGCTGGGCCATCTATGCTGGGCCATCTATGCTGGGCTATCTATACTGGGCTATCCATGATGGGCCATCCATGCTGGGCCATCTATGCTGGGCTATCTATGCTCGGCCATCTATGCTGGGCCATCCATAATGGGCCATCCATGCTGGGCCATCCATGCTGGGCCACCCATGCTGGGCCATCTATGCTGGACCATCTATGCAGGTCCATCTTTGCTAAGCCATCTATGCTGGGCCATCTATGCTGGGCAATCTTTGCTGGGTCATCTTTGCTGGGCCATGTAGGCTGGGTCATCTTTGCTGGGCCATCTATGCTGGGCCATCTATGCTGTGGTTATATGCTCGGCCATCTATGCTGGGCTATCTATGCTGGGCCATCTATGCGGGGCCATCTATGCTCAGACATATATGCTGGGCAATCTTTGCTGAGCTATCTATGCTGGGCCATGTAGGCTGGGCTATCTATGCTGGGCTATCCATGCAGGGCCATCCATGCTGGGCCATCTATGCTCGGCCATGTATGCTGGGCTATCCATGCTGGGCCATCCATGCTGGGCCATCTTTGCTGGACCATCTATGCTGGGCCATCTTTGCTGTGTCATCTATGCTGGGCCATCTATGCTGGGCCATCTTTGCTGGGCCATCTTTGCTGGGCCATCTATGCTGGGCCATCTATGCTGAATCTATGCTGGGCCATCTATGCTGGGCCATCTATGCTGGGGTTATATGCCGGTCTATATATGCTGGGCCATGTAGGCTGGGCCATGAAGGCTGGGCCATGTATGCTGGGCTATATATGCTGGGTTTATATGCTGGTCTATGTATGCTGCTCTATGTATGCTGGGCCATATAGGCTGGGCCATGTAGGCTGGGCTATGTATGCTGGGCCATCTATGCTGGGGTTATATGCTGGTCTATATATGCTGGTCTATGTATGCTGGGCCATGTATGCTGGGCCATATAGGCTGGGCCATGTAGGCTGGGCTATGTATGCTGGGCGATCTATGCTGGGGTTATATGCTGGTCTATATATGCTGGTCTATGTATGCTGGTCTATGTATGCTGGGCCATATATGCTGGGGTTATATGCTGGTCTATGTATGCTGGTCTATGTATGCTGGGCCATATATGCTGGGCCATGTAGGCTGGGCTATGTATGCTAGGCCATCTATGCTGGGGTTATATGCTGGTCTATATATGCTGGTCTATGTATGCTGGGCCATGTATGCTGGGCCATATAGGCTGGGCCATGTAGGCTGGGCTATGTATGCTGGGCGATCTATGCTGGGGTTATATGCTGGTCTATATATGCTGGTCTATGTATGCTGGTCTATGTATGCTGGGCCATATATGCTGGGGTTATATGCTGGTCTATATATGCTGGTCTATGTATGGTGGTCTATGTATGCTGGGCCATATATGCTGGGCCATGTAGGCTGGGCTATGTATGCTAGGCCATCTATGCTGGGGTTATATGCTGGTCTATATATGCTGGTCTATGTATGCTGGACTATGTATGCTCGGCCATATATGCTGGGCCATCTATGCTGGGGTTATATGCTGGTCTATATATGCTGGTCTATGTATGCTGGTCTATCTATGCTGGGCCATCTATGCTGGGGTTATATGCTAGTCTATGTATGCTGGGCCATATATGCTGGGGTTATATGCTGGTCTATATATGCTTGGCTCTCTATGCTGGGCCATCTATGCTGGGGTTATATGCTGGTCTATGTATGCTGGTCTATATATGCTGGTCTATATATGCTGGTCTATGTATGCTGGGCCATGTATGCTGGGCCATGTATGCTGGGCCATATATGCTGGGCTATATATGCTGGTCTATATATGCTGGGCTTTTCATGGCATGGATACTGCTGATTTCTGTATTGTTGAGTGACCAGACCCCTTGTGTTGCAGGCGGGGCACACTGTTACGGTGTACGAGCGGAATAACCGTGTTGGGGGGCTGCTGCGGTACGGAATCCCCACGATGAAACTGTCAAAAGAGGTAAGTTGATTTCGGTTAGATTCAGTAACCTGTCGTGACTTGATGGTAACATACTCACAAATCTTAGTAACAGGTTTAGTTGACCTTTTGTCAATCAACCTGTTAACATTGTAGACTTAAAATCCCATTTAATTACATTTGATTTCTGTCACAATGTTTTGTTACCTAAATCTGGTGTTTTGATCGACTAGACAGCTTTATCAAGCAGAGAAAAATATGTATCCCCATCACTGTCAGAGAGAATGTGTCTGGTGCATACAATAGCATTATATATTTGTCCTCATCTTCTTAAGCATTATCAGCTTTCCTGCGAAGTTAAATCTTCCATGTTTTAGTACATTTTGTAACAGCTGTACCATCCTTAATTAGATGACACACTCACTGAGTAAGAACATTATCTGTGAGTTCTCATCTCCTGACACTGGACTTTCCCTGCAGGTTGTCCAGCGTCGTGTGGACCTGATGGCTGCTGAAGGTGTGACCTTTGTAACAGACACAGAGATTGGGAAGGAAGTGTCTGCTGCTAAGCTAATGGAGGAGAATGATGCTGTACTGCTTTGTCTTGGGGCCACATGGCCCCGAGATCTGCCCATTCCAGGTGAGTTTTGACCTCCCAGATCTGCTCATGCTTGGTGAGTCCCTACCTCCAGATGTGCCCTTGCTGGGTAAGTCCTGACCTCCAGATGTGCCCATGCTGGGTGAGTCCTGACCTCCAGATATGCCCATGCTGGGTGAGTCCTGACCTCCAGATGTGCCCATGCTGGGTGAGTCCTGACCTCCAGATGTGCCCATGCTGGGTGAGTCCTGACCTCCAGATGTGCCCATGCTGGGTGAGTCCTGACCTCCAGATGTGCAGATGCTGGTCCAGTCCTGACCTCCAGATGTGCCCATGCTGGATGAGTCCTGACCTCCAGATGTGCCCATGCTGGGTGAGTCCTGACCTCCAGATGTGCCCATGCTGGGTGAGTCCTGACCTCCAGATGTGCCCATGCTGGGTGAGTCCTGACCTCCAGATGTGCCCATGCTGGGTGAGTCCTGACCTCCAGATGTGCAGATGCTGGTCCAGTCCTGACCTCCAGATGTGCCCATGCTGGATGAGTCCTGACCTACAAATGTGCCCATGCTGGGTGAGTCCTGACCTCCAGATGTGCCCATGCTGGTCGAGTCCTGACCTCCAGATATGCCCATGCTGGGTGAGTCCTGACCTCCAGATGTGCCCATGCTGGGTGAGTCCTGACCTCCAGATGTGCCCATGCTGGGTTAGTCCTGACCTCCAGATGTGCCCATGCTGGTTGAGTCCTGATCTCCAGAAATGTTTATACTCAAGGAGTCATGTTCTTATTTGCCATAACCAGAGGAGGCATGACTGTAATAGGCACCCTCTAACGTCTATAGAAGGTTCCCAGTGACAGTAGAACCAAATAAATTGGTGGCAAAAGGTCTGATATTTTACTGTGGTACTTTGCGTTGTGTTCTCTTCTCCCTGTGCAGTATTCTTCTTTCTATATGTCCTATGAGGCTCCTGACCATGTTATCAATTCTAATTATAGATAAAACACAAGACTGAAGTTTGATTTTTAGTTTGAAGTTTAACAGGGCAAACCTTCATCAACTTAACTTTGAGACAACCCTACAAAGTGTCTCGTGACCTGGAGATTTGTATTTTCCCTGTCATAATTCATGCAACAAAATGATGATGTTTCACTGTATATTTCAGGCCGTGATCTGGAAGGCATCCACTACGCCATGAACTTCCTGGAGACCTGGCAGCAGAAACAGCAAGGGACCCAACTCAACAAACCAGCCCTCAATGCCAAGGGCAAGGACGTCATCGTCATTGGTGGCGGAGACACTGGCAACGACTGCATCGGAACATCCTTGAGACAGGTTAGATAGATGCTTGGATAGTTGGCCAGTCATACACACATTTAGATGCTTGAACAGTAGTCCTGTCAGACACACAGTAAAATGCTAGGATAGTTGGCCAATCAAACACACAGTAAGACACTTGAAGAGTAGTCCTGTCATACACACAGTAAAATGCTTGAACAGTAGCCCTGTCATACACACAGTAAGACACTTGAAGAGTAGTCCTGTCAGACACGCAGTAAAATGCTGGGATAGTTGGCCAATCAAACACACAGTAAGACACTTGAAGAGTAGTCCTGTCAGACACGCAGTAAAATGCTTGAACAGTAGTCCTGTCATACACACAGTAAGGCACTTGAAGAGTAGTCCTGTCATACACACAGTAAGATGCTTGAAGAGTAGTCCTGTCATACACACAGTAAGGCACTTGAAGAGTAGTCCTGTCATACACACAGTAAGATGCTTGAAGAGTAGTCCTGTCATACACACAGTAAGACACTTGAACAGTAGTCCTGTCATACACACAGTAAGATGCTTGAACAGTAGTCCTGTCATACACACAGTAAAATGCTTGAACAGTAGTCCTGTCATACACACAGTAAGACACTTGAAGAGTAGTCCTGTCATACACACAGTAAGACACTTGAAGAGTAGTCCTGTCATACACACAGTAAGTTGCTTGAAGAGTAGTCCTGTCATACACACAGTAAGACACTTGAAGAGTAGTCCTGTCATACACACAGTAAGATGCTTGAAGAGTAGTCCTGTCATACACACAGTAAAATGCTTGAAGAGTAGTCCTGTCATACACACAGTAAGATGCTTGAAGAGTAGTCCTGTCATACACACAGTAAGACACTTGAAGAGTAGTCCTGTCATACACACAGTAAGACACTTGAAGAGTAGTCCTGTCATACACACAGTAAGACACTTGAAGAGTAGTCCTGTCATACACACAGTAAGATGCTTGAAGAGTAGTCCTGTCATACACACAGTAAGACACTTGAAGAGTAGTCCTGTCATACACACAGTAAGATGCTTGAAGAGTAGTCCTGTCATACACACAGTAAGATGCTTGAAGAGTAGTCCTGTCATACACACAGTAAGATGCTTGAACTGTAGTCCTGTCATACACACAGTAAGATGCTTGAAGAGTAGTCCTGTCATACACACAGTAAAATGCTAGGATAGTTGGCCAATCAAACACACAGTAAGACACTTGAAGAGTAGTCCTGTCAGACACACAGTAAAATGCTGGGATAGTTGGCCAATCAGACACACAGTAAGACACTTGAAGAGTAGTCCTGTCATACACACAGTAAAATGCTTGAACAGTAGTCCTGTCATACACACAGTAAGACACTTGAACAGTAGTCCTGTCATACACACAGTAAAATGCTTGAACAGTAGTCCTGTCATACACACAGTAAGATGCTTGAACATTAGTCCTGTCATACACACAGCAAGACACTTGAACATTAGGCCTTAGATTTATGTAGAATTATGGGATTGCCTGGTGGTGAAAGTGTCCAGCCATCAAGTAACACCCCATGGTATGTGTGTGTTACTATGTTACTGACTGTTAGGAATGGTACAACAGATATGCCTTGTGATTTTAAAACTGTTATTAATTATAAGCTGTGTTCTGTATTCCAGGGGGCCAAGAGTGTTATATCATTTGAGATCCTGCCAGTACCACCCCCGTCCCGAGCAGAGAGCAACCCCTGGCCTACGTGGCCCAAGATCTTCCGGGTTGACTATGGTCACGAAGAGGTGAAGGTCAAGTTTGGGAGCGACCCACGCATCTACAATATCAAGAGCACTGTGAGTTAAAAGGGTGTTACCTACTACAAAATTTGATCTGCTAATTTTTTGGTTAGGACGAGTTATAAAACACAATTTTCTGTCTAGCAGCATGCTTAATAAGGTTATTAGTATTTAAGCTGCTGCTTAATACAACGTCAGATTAGGAGAGGACAGATGTGATTTGTTGTCATGTGTATCATGTGTATCATGTGGTGTCACAGCGAATAGCTTCAAAATTGCTGATGCGGCGTTAAGCAATATTTACTCCTGTCATGTGGTAGTCTTCTTCCATGGCTCAGTGTGACAGTAGAACGTCCCAGCTGCACAAAGTTTCCAGGATGACGTGTTACTGGACCCATTCCAATATTTCAGGGCTTCATCGATGACGGCAATGGTCACGTGAAAGGCATCAACACTGTCCTGGTGGAGTGGAAGAAGGATGATGCTGGGCGCTGGCAGATGGCTGACGTTCCTGGTCAGTCAATCTGTATTTCTCACAGGCTCATTTGAAAACATGCTAGCTTGTTCATGTCAGATGTCTTCACATTCAACATTTCTAGCACTAAACAAGCATTTTGAAAAATTACATAATTTGTTACCTTGTACCAGTCTATCATATGCATGAAACTGCAACATCGGTTGATGTGTGTGTACAAGATCAGTCGAGTAATCAGAATATTCATTTTATCATGGTTTGTCTTAAGTTTCTTTTTAGAGTGATGTTTTCAGTTTTACAGCAATTTCATTCCTGCCTAACTCAGAGAGAGCTTAAGGAAAAACTCCACTTTCGGATTTGTTTGGATCTGTGAAATAACCATTGATCCAAAGCACAATGACATCAAGTTTACTTTCATGAAGAGTTGTGTGTCTGTTGTTGGACTTAATCCATGTGTGTCTGTTGTTGGACTTTATCCATGTGTGTCTGTTGTTGGACTATCCATGTGTGTCTGTTGTTGGACTTTTTCCATGTGTGTCCATTGTTGGACTATCCATGTGTGTCCGTTGTTGGACTATCCATGTGTGTCTGTTGTTGGACTTTATCCATGTGTGTCTGTTGTTAAGGTTTTATGCATGTGGGGCTGATGTTGGACTTTATCCATGTGTATCTGTTGTGAGACTTTATCCATGTGTGGCTGTTGTTGGACTTTATCCATGTGTGTCTGTTGTTGGACTATCCATGTGTGTCTGTTGTTGGACTATCCATGTGTGTCTGTTGTTGGACTTTTTCCATGTGTGTCCATTGTTGGACTTTATCCATGTGTGTCTGTTGTTAAGATTTTATGCATGTGGGGCTGATGTTGGACTTTATCCATGTGTGTCTGTTGTTGGACTTTTTCCATGTGTGTCCATTGTTGGACTTTATCCATGTGTGTCTGTTGTTAAGATTTTATGCATGTGGGGCTGATGTTGGACTTTATCCATGTGTGTCTGTTGTTAGACTTTATCCATGTGTGTCTGTTGTTGGACTTTATCCATGTGTATCTGTTGCAGACTCTGAGAAGGTGTACAAATGTGACATGGTGATGCTAGCTATGGGTTTCCTTGGACCAGAGAGGAAGATTGTGGATGAGCTGTCAGTGAAGCTGGACCCTCGCGGCAATGTGAACACGCCACGGAACAAGTACTCCACCAGCATCCCCAACCTCTACGCTGCTGGAGGTAGGAATACATTCCAAATACATTATATGTCAACAGAATCATTTATGTTTCTGTATACAGGATTTTTGATTGGCCTTGAGTGGATTCTTCTTGGTGATAACGACATGTTTGTTTCCTGTTTCAGATTGTCGTCGAGGTCAGTCCCTGGTGGTGTGGGCTATCGCAGAAGGTCGTCAGGCAGCCCGACAGATTGATGCTGATCTCATGGGGCAGACCAGCCTTGCCGGGCCAGGGGGTATTGTCCATTCCAACTGATGTTCAGGGAATGATATGTTGAGTGGACTGAGGGGAGGGAACAGGTTACCTGTAGAGTGGTGGAGAGGGAGAGGTGAAGTTCAAGGTGATATTGATGACCTCAGGTCAGTGACCTTGATGACACTGTTCAGGCATTCCTAATATCCCGGCATCAAAGATGGAAAACAGACCTTCCAACGACCAATGAATAAAGCGTTTGTATTAATAAATAATGTATGGCATTAAACAGGCTTTCAAAGAACGGTGATTTCAAAGATTGCAATACCATCATGAAAAATAAGATCTTTCTGACTTGTGTCTCCCTGAGACTAGACAGTCTCCCTGTCAGTAATGGAGGGTGTTGGGACTGCAGACTAGACAGTCTTCCCTGTCAGCAGTGGAGGGTGTTGGGACTGCAGACTAGACAGTCTCCCTGAGACTAGACAGTCTTCCCTGTCAGCAGTGGAGGGTGTTGGGACTGCAGACTAGACGGTCTCCCTGTCAGCAGTGGAGGGTGTTTGGACTGCAGACTAGAAAGTCTCCCTGTCAGCAGTGGAGGGTGTTGGGACTGCAGACTAGAAAGTCTTCCCGAGACTAGACAGTCTTCCCTGTCAGCAGTGGAGGGTGTTGGGACTGCAGACTAGACAGTCTCCCTGTCAGCAGTGGAGGGTGTTGGGACTGCAGACTAGAAAGTCTCCCTGTCAGCAGTGGAGGGTGTTTGGACTGCAGACTAGAAAGTCTCCCTGTCAGCAGTGGAGGGTGTAGGGACTGCAGACTAGACAGTCTTCCCTGTCAGCAGTGGAGGGTGTTGGGACTGCAGACTAGACAGTCTCCCTGAGACTAGACAGTCTTCCCTGTCAGCAGTGGAGGGTGTTGGGACTGCAGACTAGACAGTCTCCCTGTCAGCAGTGGAGGGTGTAGGGACTGCAGACTAGACAGTCTCCCTGAGACTAGACAGTCTCCCTGTCAGCAGTGGAGGGTGTTGGGACTGCAGACTAGAAAGTCTTCCTGAGACTAGACAGTCTTCCCTGTCAGCAGTGGAGGGTGTTGGGACTGCAGACTAGACAGTCTCCCTGAGACTAGACAGTCTCCCTGTCAGCAGTGGAGGGTGTTGGGACTGCAGACTAGACAGTCTCCCTGTCAGCAGTGGAGGGTGTTTGGACTGCAGACTAGAAAGTCTCCCTGTCAGCAGTGGAGGGTGTTGGGACTGCAGACTAGAAAGTCTTCCCGAGACTAGACAGTCTTCCCTGTCAGCAGTGGAGGGTGTAGGGACTGCAGACTAGACAGTCTTCCCTGTCAGCAGTGGAGGGTGTTGGGACTGCAGACTAGACAGTCTCCCTGAGACTAGACAGTCTTCCCTGTCAGCAGTGGAGGGTGTTGGGACTGCAGACTAGAAAGTCTCCCTGTCAGCAGTGGAGGGTGTTGGGACTGCAGACTAGACAGTCTTCCCTGTCAGCAGTGGAGGGTGTAGGGACTGCATTCCTAATATCCCGGCATCAAAGATGGAAAACAGACCTTCCAACGACCAATGAATAAAGCGTTTGTATTAATAAATAATGTATGGCATTAAACAGGCTTTCAAAGAACGGTGATTTCAAAGATTGCAATACCATCATGAAAAATAAGATCTTTCTGACTTGTGTCTTTCAAAAGACTCAAGATCTGTTCATGTTAGCACAGCCGGTTCATGGTTCAGGAAATGATGGAAGTTGACAGATCTGAAATGAAGAGGATGGTGATTAATTAATAGATATTAATTATAGAAAACTTCCACCACTGATTTACAAAAATCAGAAACATTCTATTTGTTGTTAAGAACATCATGTACTGTTCATGTTGTTGTTCATTGCAAAGCCAGAACACAGATTGAGATTTGACGAAGGAAGTTGATGATCCAATTTATTTCATTCACATGTACATGTCATGTACATGCACCATATTTCTCATTGATGTGTTGTTTACCGAAACAGACATTATTGTATCACTATTGTTACCATGGAAACAGTTGCCCTTTAAGTACTCAACGAAAACAAACTAAGCTTATAAATCACATGAGTGTCATGCATTGCTCTTCATATGTCTGAAGTATTCCGTAGTAATCTTTCTCTTACATCACATTGGCTTCAATCATGCAATGTCTGCTTGTTAATTTCATGTGATGAGGAGGTGATTGCCACCTGTCAACATATCACTGCAGACTAGACAGTCTCCCTGAGACTAGACAGTCTCCCTGTCAGTAATGGAGGGTGTTGGGACTGCAGACTAGACAGTCTTCCCTGTCAGCAGTGGAGGGTGTTGGGACTGCAGACTAGACAGTCTCCCTGAGACTAGACAGTCTTCCCTGTCAGCAGTGGAGGGTGTTGGGACTGCAGACTAGACGGTCTCCCTGTCAGCAGTGGAGGGTGTTTGGACTGCAGACTAGAAAGTCTCCCTGTCAGCAGTGGAGGGTGTTGGGACTGCAGACTAGAAAGTCTTCCCGAGACTAGACAGTCTTCCCTGTCAGCAGTGGAGGGTGTTGGGACTGCAGACTAGACAGTCTCCCTGTCAGCAGTGGAGGGTGTTGGGACTGCAGACTAGAAAGTCTCCCTGTCAGCAGTGGAGGGTGTTTGGACTGCAGACTAGAAAGTCTCCCTGTCAGCAGTGGAGGGTGTAGGGACTGCAGACTAGACAGTCTTCCCTGTCAGCAGTGGAGGGTGTTGGGACTGCAGACTAGACAGTCTCCCTGAGACTAGACAGTCTTCCCTGTCAGCAGTGGAGGGTGTTGGGACTGCAGACTAGACAGTCTCCCTGTCAGCAGTGGAGGGTGTAGGGACTGCAGACTAGACAGTCTCCCTGAGACTAGACAGTCTCCCTGTCAGCAGTGGAGGGTGTTGGGACTGCAGACTAGAAAGTCTTCCTGAGACTAGACAGTCTTCCCTGTCAGCAGTGGAGGGTGTTGGGACTGCAGACTAGACAGTCTCCCTGAGACTAGACAGTCTCCCTGTCAGCAGTGGAGGGTGTTGGGACTGCAGACTAGACAGTCTCCCTGTCAGCAGTGGAGGGTGTTTGGACTGCAGACTAGAAAGTCTCCCTGTCAGCAGTGGAGGGTGTTGGGACTGCAGACTAGAAAGTCTTCCCGAGACTAGACAGTCTTCCCTGTCAGCAGTGGAGGGTGTAGGGACTGCAGACTAGACAGTCTTCCCTGTCAGCAGTGGAGGGTGTTGGGACTGCAGACTAGACAGTCTCCCTGAGACTAGACAGTCTTCCCTGTCAGCAGTGGAGGGTGTTGGGACTGCAGACTAGAAAGTCTCCCTGTCAGCAGTGGAGGGTGTTGGGACTGCAGACTAGACAGTCTTCCCTGTCAGCAGTGGAGGGTGTAGGGACTGCAGACTAGACAGTCTCCCTGAGACTAGACAGTCTTCCCTGTCAGCAGTGGAGGGTGTTGGGACTGCAGACTAGACAGTCTCCCTGTCAGCAGTGGAGGGTGTAGGGACTGCAGACTAGACAGTCTCCCTGAGACTAGACAGTCTTCCCTGTCAGCAGTGGAGGGTGTTGGGACTGCAGACTAGACAGTCTCCCTGTCAGCAGTGGAGGGTGTAGGGACTGCAGACTAGAAAGTCTCCCTGTCAGCAGTGAAGGGTGTTGGGACTGCAGACTAGACAGTCTCCCTGTCAGCAGTGGAGGGTGTTGGGACTGCAGACTAGAAAGTCTCCCTGTCAGCAGTGGAGGGTGTAGGGACTGCAGACTAGAAAGTCTCCCTGTCAGCAGTGGAGGGTGTTGGGACTGCAGACTAGACAGTCTCCCTGTCAGCAGTGGAGGGTGTTGGGACTGCAGACTAGACAGTCTCCCTGTCAGCAGGGGAGGGTGTAGGGACTGCAGACTAGACAGTCTCCCTGTCAGCAGTGGAGGGTGTAGGGACTGCAGACTAGAAAGTCTCCCTGTCAGCAGTGAAGGGTGTTGGGACTGCAGACTAGACAGTCTCCCTGTCAGCAGTGGAGGGTGTTGGGACTGCAGACTAGAAAGTCTCCCTGTCAGCAGTGGAGGGTGTTTGGACTGCAGACTAGAAAGTCTCCCTGTCAGCAGTGGAGGGTGTAGGGACTGCAGACTAGACAGTCTTCCCTGTCAGCAGTGGAGGGTGTTGGGACTGCAGACTAGACAGTCTCCCTGAGACTAGACAGTCTTCCCTGTCAGCAGTGGAGGGTGTTGGGACTGCAGACTAGACAGTCTCCCTGTCAGCAGTGGAGGGTGTAGGGACTGCAGACTAGACAGTCTCCCTGAGACTAGACAGTCTCCCTGTCAGCAGTGGAGGGTGTTGGGACTGCAGACTAGAAAGTCTTCCTGAGACTAGACAGTCTTCCCTGTCAGCAGTGGAGGGTGTTGGGACTGCAGACTAGACAGTCTCCCTGAGACTAGACAGTCTCCCTGTCAGCAGTGGAGGGTGTTGGGACTGCAGACTAGACAGTCTCCCTGTCAGCAGTGGAGGGTGTTTGGACTGCAGACTAGAAAGTCTCCCTGTCAGCAGTGGAGGGTGTTGGGACTGCAGACTAGAAAGTCTTCCCGAGACTAGACAGTCTTCCCTGTCAGCAGTGGAGGGTGTAGGGACTGCAGACTAGACAGTCTTCCCTGTCAGCAGTGGAGGGTGTTGGGACTGCAGACTAGACAGTCTCCCTGAGACTAGACAGTCTTCCCTGTCAGCAGTGGAGGGTGTTGGGACTGCAGACTAGAAAGTCTCCCTGTCAGCAGTGGAGGGTGTTGGGACTGCAGACTAGACAGTCTTCCCTGTCAGCAGTGGAGGGTGTAGGGACTGCAGACTAGACAGTCTCCCTGAGACTAGACAGTCTTCCCTGTCAGCAGTGGAGGGTGTTGGGACTGCAGACTAGACAGTCTCCCTGTCAGCAGTGGAGGGTGTAGGGACTGCAGACTAGACAGTCTCCCTGAGACTAGACAGTCTTCCCTGTCAGCAGTGGAGGGTGTTGGGACTGCAGACTAGACAGTCTCCCTGAGACTAGAAAGTCTCCCTGTCAGCAGTGGAGGGTGTAGGGACTGCAGACTAGACAGTCTCCCTGTCAGCAGTGGAGGGTGTAGGGACTGCAGACTAGAAAGTCTCCCTGTCAGCAGTGAAGGGTGTTGGGACTGCAGACTAGACAGTCTCCCTGTCAGCAGTGGAGGGTGTTGGGACTGCAGACTAGAAAGTCTCCCTGTCAGCAGTGGAGGGTGTAGGGACTGCAGACTAGAAAGTCTCCCTGTCAGCAGTGGAGGGTGTTGGGACTGCAGACTAGACAGTCTCCCTGTCAGCAGTGGAGGGTGTTGGGACTGCAGACTAGACAGTCTCCCTGTCAGCAGGGGAGGGTGTAGGGACTGCAGACTAGACAGTCTCCCTGTCAGCAGTGGAGGGTGTAGGGACTGCAGACTAGAAAGTCTCCCTGTCAGCAGTGAAGGGTGTTGGGACTGCAGACTAGACAGTCTCCCTGTCAGCAGTGGAGGGTGTTGGGACTGCAGACTAGAAAGTCTCCCTGTCAGCAGTGGAGGGTGTAGGGACTGCAGACTAGAAAGTCTCCCTGTCAGCAGTGGAGGGTGTAGGGACTGCAGACTAGACAGTCTCCCTGTCAGCAGTGAAGGGTGTTGGGACTGCAGACTAGACAGTCTCCCTGTCAGCAGTGGAGGGTGTTGGGACTGCAGACTAGAAAGTCTCCCTGTCAGCAGTGGAGGGTGTTGGGACTGCAGACTAGAAAGTCTCCCTGTCAGCAGTGGAGGGTGTTGGGACTGCAGACTAGACAGTCTCCCTGTCAGCAGTGGAGGGTGTAGGGACTGCAGACTAGAAAGTCTCCCTGTCAGCAGTGGAGGGTGTTGGGACTGCAGACTAGACAGTCTCCCTGTCAGCAGTGAAGGGTGTAGGGACTGGTGTACATTACACATGTGTGTCATAATTTAGGTGACGGTTGGTGCAGTGGATGATGTATGTTTCTTGAAATGTAGCTTAGTTGTAAATAGTTACCAGTTGTTAACCTGTTATTGTTTACCTGTATAGCCAACCATTGTTACACATATCCAGGTTGAAGTTCCACCCAACATTTCTCATGTATTCACACAACAAAAGAACAAAATTTTCTTTACTAATTCCAGTTTGTTAAACAGACAATCCTATGATTGGGAAAGTGCTTCAGATTTACATAGACCTAACAACCTGTACAGGTTACATATTCCAGGCTTCCATAAGATATGACAAGGGTGTGTTGGGCAAATTGCTTCAGTTTGTAGACTCAAAAGTATTGGCTCAATGATAGCATAGGTGTTGAAAAAGGATTTTATGATAAACAGCTCAGCACTATGTAGTCCAGATAGAACACAGAGCATGGACAGAAGGAAAGTTGCTAAAAGGAAGAAATCCTTGAAACCAAGGGAGACAGCTCAAGCTGCTTTATCATATGGACACCTGTACTGTTGAGAGAGAGTATGTAACCTTTGTTAGATTGCCAAAATAGCTACCTAGTTTCATACTGTGTTTTTTTTCAATACTGGTATGAGAAGGTTATGAACATCAATTGCAAGATGTAGTGGAGGACAAGTTGAAAGTCAGGGATGATAATGGATCAATGTGTATTTTCTTGAGTATAGTGCGCACCTCTAGCGGATTCAATATTTTGGAAAAAACAATCAGAATATTATGCGCAGAAAAAAAAATACAACGTAACTTGAGAAACCTGGTCAGTACAAATTTGAAATTAGAGATAAAAAAATCACCTGACATGTTGATTTACCGTTTAAATTGTATTTTTTGTTCTGCTAGGCATTGTTTTACATCCAGGGATTAAGATTACCTTGTGTATTTTCTCGTAACTAAACCAGAAACAGCAATCAGCTGTTCACACGTTCTTGGAATCTACCGGTGATTCGGTCAAGACACACCAAATTATATAACTTTACGTGAAAAATGCAAAGATCGTCAAAAATTGTACCTGAAACTATTTTTTTTACCAGGAATAATATATTCCAAATATCTTGTTATTCTAGTTGCAGCTTTTACTAAATATATTTAAAATAATTACAACCTTAAGCGAAGCAGCTGATTGCTATTGCCGGTTACTATTTTTTTACGTGGAACCAGTTTGACCAGTCACTGTCGAGGCTCCCGCGCACGTGATCGCAAGAACTACGTGTTGACATAGAATCATCAAACTATAACAAATATGACTTTTAACGAGTCAAAGTATGGCATTTATGATATATGTATCCATTCTCTGTACGGAGGGGGGGGGGTTGGGTGGGTGGGTACAGGACATCAAAACTTATTATTGCGTGTATAATGCGCACCCCCTTCTACACAGCTGTATGTTTAAAAAATAAGTGCGCTATATACTCAAGAAAATACGGTAGTACACAGGAAAATTAGCATTGGTCAAGATTTTGTTTTGTTTTGTTGTCCTTTTCGGAACACAATAGAAATTCTGTTACCGATTTTTGAATGTTTTTAAGCCTGATACATGCTCACAGTTGTTTCCATTACTGTTACATTAGAAAGAGGATGCAAATTGTTATCGAGTTACAGGATTGATGAAACCTGAAATATCATTTAGCTAGGATCTGCTATCTATACCATATAGATTCTAAGAATGTGGATGCTCACACAACAAAGTTATTCAAAGAACCGATGGACTTACCAAAGTTGTTGACTTACATTTTAGTTAGTTTGTGCCATAATAACATACTGTTGAGTGTCATTTGTTGAACTATGGTTTCTGTGATGTTTATTTCTTGAAAGTGATTTTTAATACTATTTGTACTTTATTGTTTTATTTAATAGATATTTTTTCCATCTGCTTTTCAGGTCAGTTGGTCTATAATTTTACTTATGCACTTGCTACTTTTGAACTCAGTTTTAAATGAAAAGAAATAATAATAACTATTTCTTATTTAATCCCTGACTGATAGAAGGGCCAAAACGTGACTGTTCTTACATGATGTAAAATGTCTGATTTCAGCCTATGATAGTCAGGTCTGGACATTACAATGTTGGACATATGGCAGTTATCTGACATCAGAAACCATGAATGGCATCTTTGTTTGTATGAGCACCTGTAGTTCATTTTTGATGTCATGAAGTGCATGTCATTTGTTGTATTTAGACTTGCCCATCAGTATCTCCAAGCCAGCTGTGGCTGTCTAACATTTCACGTATTCTTATCAAGTTGTGACATATGGGATACAGGCTGTTTGCTTTTCTCTGTTAGAATTATGTCTATTATTCTCTGTGTGACTGATGAATATTTTTCTTGTTTGCTTTTATTGGTTGTTATGATGATGATGATGTTGATCAGTGTTTCCTCCTGTGAAGGGGTCCCACCGACACAAGGCTGTAATTACCTCTGTACAGTCTCACACCCGGAGACTGCTGCTGTGTGTGCTGGTGACCAAATCTTCAGGTCAATAAACATGTTCCACTTCAGGTTGTCCTTGTTATTGTATTGTAAAGCCTTGGGGAATATGTAGATGGACGTGATCAAGTCAGTTACTGGTAAGCCAGGATAAGTTGTAACCCCTGTGAAGAAAGGGGTAGAGGATGGTCCACAACAAGAAGTACGATGGATATATGCATGTCTCTGCTAAGAAATCTGGAATCGACTTGTCACTCCGACCTCTTATTACAGTTCATTTGGATCCAAATGAGAACGATGAATTGCAAAATAACTCAAAATCAGGAATAATCTATTAAATGTTAATATGTACACAGCAATGAATACCCTGCAATACAATTGCATCTGTTTGTTATTTTTATTCCCATCACTGGAAAAATATTGTTTAAGAAACTATCATGTTATGTGTACAAGTTGACATCTTGAACGGAGGGTGGCACAAGGGTAGGAGGAACAGCGCAAATACACAATGCACTTGCTATACAACACTACAGGGCATGCCAGCATCAGAGGGGTCGTCTCATGATAATTTTAATCGCAATCTGACTTGCTCATGTCACAGCCCTCGTCGTCACTGCTGACTATAGTTGGGACTGTTGCTTGCTGAAGTCGATCACGTGACCAGTATCTTGACTATCTCGTTGACGACTTCCTTAAGGCAACATGGCCATGTCTCCACTTTTCATTAGATAGCTTTGTGTTCCTTTGATGATACCCCATATCAACTCTATTGGGCTCAGATCACATTGGTAAGGGGAAGTCGTTAGACGGTGTGACCTTGACCATTGATGTAATTCTCAACCATATACACCGGCTCAGGTTTGTAAGCTTGGATGATTTCATAGACTTTTGCTTTTGTACCCCTGTAAGGAAGGGTCATATTCATCTGTTGCAGCCACGTCACCGTATCTCCTTTATTAATCTCATATCCTATCTCCTTTCCTATAAGGCCATTAGACGTCGGGGACCAATTTATTTTTCACCCACCGTTCGTTTCTGTGTGGTTATCCCTTTTATCCTTGACCTTGACTCGATTCGTTTGTTTGTTGTTAAACGCCGCACTCCGCAATATGTCAGCTATATGATGGCATGCTGTAAATATAATCCAGTCTGGACCAGACAATCCAGTGATTGACATGAGCATCGATCCACACAATTGGGATTGATTACATGCATCAATCAAGTCAGCGAGCCTGACCCCCCGATCCCGTTAGTCGCATCTTACGACAAGCATAGTCGCCTTTTACGGCAAGCATGGGTTGCTTAAGACCTATTCTACCCCGGATCTTCACGGGTCCCTTGACTCGAATGAGGATGAGAGCTTGGGAGAAAACCCTGACTAGCACAGCAATCATGGAAAAAAGTCTTTCACCCTTTCACATTTGTAACTTTCTCCAAGACTCCTTACAGTCCCCACTGGGTACCCACTGACTGCTGGCTGTGTGAGAGGCATTTACCTACGTTTCATCTAGGAAAACATGATCATATTCTTCACGTTTCTGCTTGATGGCGCGAAGATAATGATTTCGGAGACGAAGAATGTCAGATGGTTCACATAACACAGCCCTATTTTCACCACTTATCTTTTTGTATCTTTTTATTTGTATTCAAATGAGGGGCGGTAGGGAAGCCCGTTAAAACGTTCGCTCGTCACACCGAAGACCTGGGTTCGATTCCCGACATTGTTACAATGTGTGAAGCCCATTTCTTGTGCTAAAAGCGGCGTAAAACCATACTCACTCACTATTCAAATGTATGCAGAAGTTGCCATAGCTTGTAACATCACATCGTGTTCAGTTTCAAGGTATTTCTTCATGAGTCTTAGTGACGTGCACATAATGTCTGAATGCAGTTTAACACTTGCACATCTGACTTGACTTTTCTGAAAACTGTCTATTTTATCAACCCTACATGGTTTTGATATGGTCCCCACTTGCTTCCCGTCGACGGACACCATTTTCAGATTGTTATAAGATATACCATGAGCTTGAGTTTTAAGTATTTATTAACGGCACAAAATGGTTTTCCTCTTTTTGCTTCACATTGAAAGAAATCATACAGCTTAAATATCAACTGAATCAAATCAGATTAGTGGCGCATCTAGTCGGTCAACAACGACGCTTTGTAGCACGTGCAATACGTGTTCGCGCTGTTCCTCGTACCTTTCTGGCCCCTCCGTTTAAGATGACAACTTGTACAAATAACAACATGATGTGAAACAATATTTCTTCTCGATTCACTGGTTACGGCACCAATAAAAGGATGTAATCTGTGGGGATTTCGGGTTGAAATAGGTCTGCAGAAAGCTATTCAGGCCGTAAGAGGCGACTTAATGGATTGGACGGTCAGGCTCGGTGTCTTGGTTGGTAGTGTCATCACAACCCAACCGCTCATAATATCAATCACTGGATTGTAAGGTCCAGATTTTTTACAGCCTGCAGTCGTGTAACTAGAATCTTTTAAACAACAAGCAAACAATATATAGAGAATATACTACATTCATTCTCGTTAGAT